AAGATCATGCACTAGATCATGCATTTTGCAAGATTCAATATTCCCATACAAATCCCATTCAATATCTTGGAAAAAAGAATTAGATAACAACTCCTTGAAATACTCATTACCAATATCCTCCGTTTCCACAAGGCTTTCATTAGATTTGTGAACAAACCCCTGAGCCACCCAAAGTTGAATTAAATCATCTATGAAAATGACAGCATCCTTTGGAAAAATTGAACAATAAGAGAAGCACTTTTTTAAGGATGAAGGCAAACGATCAAAACTCATTTTCAATATAGATAAAATCTTCTTATTTTCATCTTGCAAAATCCATGCTTTATCATCTAGGATCTCTTGCCACTTATCTGTCTTCATTTCACGACTCAATGCTCCTCCAATCACACTTGCAACTAATGGCAACCCCCCACATTTTTTGGCAATTTCTTGTCCAATACCTTCTAAATCCAAAGGTATTGAAGTTTCCGTTGATGATCTGAGAACTATGTCCTCAATTATCAACCAACATTCATGATCTGATAGCTTTACCATATCATGTTTTTGCATTGGAAGTGCCTCCATTATGGATGCTACCTTATCACTACGAGTAGTCACAAGAATGGAGTTTCCACTGGTTTTTAAAATTTTTAACAAACGAGAATTGAAACTATCCCACTTGCCTCTATCTTCATTCCACACGTCATCGAGAACTAGAAGAAATTTTCTATCTTCTAACTTCTGTCCAAGTTCCTGAATAAGTGCACCTATATTATTCTTTCGACCAACAGAGCTACCAAGGTATTCTAACATATCTCCTAATATTATTTTTTCATCAAATTCCTCAGACACACAAACCCAAGCCACCAGGTCATACAACTTTTGTTCTTTTACCATACTACATATTGACTTCGCTAATGTTGTCTTGCCTATGCCCCCAAAGCCTACAATTGAAATGCCAGAGAGGATATGTTGACTCCTTATGTTATCCAGCTTCTTGACAATTTCTAAGACATCATTATGCCTTCCTACAAATTTGGAACAATCAGGGATGGGATCTGTCTCAGGATATTGCCTTGCACCAGCAGTGGAATGACATTGGTCACTAAATCTGATTGACAGATACAAAACCCCTTGGTTGTTGATTTCATCCAGAGTCTTATTAATTTTCCTAATCTTATCAGCCATGCTAAGACGAAAGGCAGTGCGATTGAAAACACCAAAGAAAGTGTGCACCTGTTTCATCTTTCGACCTTGAGTCTGAACTTTGTGCTTAAGAACCTCATACTCGTACTCACCCAGTACATCCACCGCATCATCAGCTACGTCTGTGAGGCGCTGTAACCAATTCCTTATAGCTGGATCGCTTTCTTGCCTCTTTTCAGCATCTTGAAGCAATCCTTGGATCATAGTCAGTTTTTGAGCAAGCTCCCCCAGCTCCTTCTCCAGACCCCATGCCGTGCTGATTTGTGCAGCAGAAAATGAAATTGCTTTAGGAACTGCAATCTCTATGATTGGGCTGACGAAGTTGAGGACGAGTTCAGCCATTATGCTTAGAGAATCAGAGAAAAATGGCTAGCACAATTAAACTCTGCAACAGAAAAGGGGAATAGTGTTGAGAGAGCAGAGATTGAAGCAGCCACTGGACTAAAAATATGTTGAAATGTTGATGAAGAATCTGCAAATAAAACGTAATCACTTACCAGATCTAATCCTAAAATGCTTAGCCACACAGAAAGATAGCAAACGCAAGAGAATCTTGAGAGACAAACAGAGATGGTGTTTGTGAGAGAACTGAGCACAGATGAGTACGGATTGAAACGCAGCCCTGTTCTTATAAAGCAGAGACACCACTGTAGCCATACGCGCATATGGATTTCTGCTTAGCCAATGCAATTGTGTTTCTGTGATATTTCCTATATTTGTTTTTTCTTACTTTTTCTTTCTCGTCTAGTAGTGCTTGTCTTTTCCTGCTTTGCTTTTTCTTGTTTTATTCTTTCTTATCTACGGTGCTTGTCTTTTCCTGCTTTCTGCCACCATGTGAATACATGACCAAAGCAGACTGTCCCATTTCTTTGAAAGTTCTAATTTTCTATTCTTTACAAATTAAAGTTAATTTCTTGCCCTATTTTCCGTCAGCTCTTTTGTTCTTTTTCTAATGTAAATAAATAGAAGTTTCCATGATGTCTCTTTTTGCTGGAGGTAAGTTTCTGGGCAATGGAATTTCCTGTTCCTTTGTTTTTCCATCTATTACTTTCTAAAAGGTGAATTAATGGAATGTTTCCATGGTGTCTTCTTATTTTGTTGATAAATTGTAATTATAATTTTTAAAAGAGATTGGTGCTTATATCTGTTGTACTACTTAAAAATTAAAAAGGACATTATTA